AGAATGTTAAAAATGCGATTAATCGTGAGTTAACTCACCATTTCTGTGCGATTAATCAACTAAAAAAAAAAATCGTTTGACAGCCCTAATTTTTAGGGATGCACCGATTTTTACATTAAAAATATAATATATATATATATATATATAAGAATTTTCAGACAATTGGCAGAATTCTCGCTGAAATGGACCTCTGACTTTTTGTTCAAAAGTACATTATGACTAGTACATGGCAAATTTTCAACAATTTGTAAACAGGCGGGCGCGAGGGCGGCCATGTGCGCCGAGAGGTCCTTTTATGGGTCCTTTGGAGACTTTACGGAGCTGTCAAATAACTTTAGCGGTTGAAGAAGATGACATAGTCTGGGATTGCGTCTTTCATTCAGACAGAAGACATGTTTTATTGTCGATGGTAGAGACAGCACGAACAACACGAACAACAGAATGCAAGTGTATTATACAGAGCGTTGGCATGGAGACCTCCAATCAGCAGCTGCCACAGTGCCATGTAGCTTGGCCTTCAGATAGACACAACAAGGGAAAAGTACAGGCTTCTGCACATTGATAGAATGATGAGTTTAACTTTAACAAAAGTTGCTTCAAAGTGTTATGAAATCTCACACAGTGTCTACTGTCTAAATCATGGATCTAAATCCGAAGTGATTCAGATAGGAGGAAAGAGACTAAGCATTGCTACACCTAGTTAGATGAGAGCGCATAGTGAGAGAGTGTGTGTGTGTGTGTGTGTGTGTGAGCAGAGGAGCAGACGTGTGTGTGTGTGTGTGAGCAGACGTGTGTGTGTGTGTGTGAGCAGACGTGTGTGTGTGTGTGTGTGAGCAGAGGAGCAGACGTGTGTGTGTGTGTGTGTGTGAGCAGACGTGTGTGTGTGTGCGTGAGCAGACGTGTGTGTGCGCTGCTAATGCCACAGTGAATTAGAATTAATCAGAAATCACCATCTTTGTGCATTATATAAAAAAGTCTGAACACAGCTGAACAAGAATGAGCCCAACTCGATTTTATCGATTCGTTGTTGCAGCCCTAGTTTTTTATATAAAAGTATCACTTTGTATCTACTGTAAAAAAAATTGAATCTTAATCAAATGTGGACATCTGAAAATACCAATCAAACTTCTAAAGAACAGAGGAGGAGTTTGGATCCATGAAAAACATAAAATATCTTCTGATTATTAAAATCCCATTTTTGGCCTTTTGTCACACTTTTGTACCCATTAGTCCAGTCCTGGGTCTACAGCCTCAGTCCTGGGTCTACAGGCCTCAGTCCTGGGTCTACAGCCTCAGTCCTGGGTCTACAGCCTCAGTCCTGGGTCTACAGCCTCAGTCCTGGGTCTACAGTCTCAGTCCTGGGTCTACAGCCTCAGTCCTGGGTCTACAGTCTCAGTCCTGGGTCTACAGCCTCAGTCCTGGGTCTACAGCCTCAGTCCTGGGTCTACAGCCTCAGTCCTGGGTCTACAGCCTCAGTCCTGGGTCTACAGGCCTCAGTCCTGGGTCTACAGCCTCAGTCCTGGGTCTACAGCCTCAGTCCTGGGTCTACAGCCTCAGTCCTGGGTCTACAGCCTCAGTCCTGGGTCTACAGCCTCAGTCCTGGGTCTACAGTCTCAGTCCTGGGTCTACAGCCTCAGTCCTGGGTCTACAGGCCTCAGTCCTGGATCTACAGCCTCAGTCCTGGGTCTACAGCCTCAGTCCTGGGTCGCTTGATCTTGATTGCACAAGACAGGCCTCAGTCCTGGGTCTACAGCCTCTAAGAAGAGAGCAGCCTATGTACGCAAGAGTTCCCACTTGTAAAACCCTATGGAATATTGTGGACAAAAGGGCAAAAAGCCACTTCTGCCTTAGTCCCCATTGTTCCATATGCGCCAAAGCCGCTGCTCTAACAAAACACAGGTGTTTGATAAAAAGCTTTGTCATAAAAGTCGCATGGATCTGCCAGAATACACTGCTTATGCAGAGCATACTTTAATGAAAATTCTCTTCTTGTTGCGAGCGATATTCACAATTGATCTGCCCTTTACATTTGATCGACTTTGTATCGCACAATCCGCGAGTTACATCACTAGCTGAAACATAAACTGTGTGCCGTGTACTGGTTCATTGCAAACATACCGCAAAATACAGGCCTCCCTCAACAATACTCAATCCACGTAGCTCACTATGCTATACGTTTCTACAGTTAAAGAGGTGTGGTTATGCATAAGTTCAGGGCAACCTCTCTGCTATGATCTAAAGATATTGACGCAAATGGTTGTACATGAGTCACTAGGTTGCAAGTGTAAGGGGCACGACTTATATGTTGCCGCTGAGAATCTTGGTGTCTTCTCTCTCTTAGCAGTATTCATGAGACTTCATACGGGTCGACAAGTTCTGGCAGCATTTTCTGTCTAGATCGAGTCACAAGACGTCACAACACAAGAGTTGTTCAGGTTTTGGGATGATGGGCGCAGAACAATGACCTCAGGATAGAGCAAGTGGCATGAGGGGAGAAGGACACATCACTCAGTCAGATATATGGTGGTGAAAGGACATAGTCCATTAGTAACTGAAAATCTCGACACTTTCATGGGGTCACCCAACCCGGGTAGGCCGCCTGACATCCGTTGCATGATCTTTTGATAGCATTGTGCCATCTGAGTTGCGTCGCCTGTGTCTTAAAAATCTGTATAAGCAGAAGGTATTTCACGTTAAGATATCACTTAATCTGTTCCGATCCTCTTTTCATCAAACACTTAGATTATATACATTAACAGACAAAACAGCTATCGCGACTCTCTCGTGATGATCGTGGAAAGGGATTTCCCTCCAAGAAGCATTGAGTGGAATTGGCCTAAGAACTGGTGTCTCATAAGGTTCCTGCCTCTCCATTTCGCATTGGTTTCACTGTGTTCCGAGTGATGACAACTTGGGAAAGTCTGATGCTTCTTAAAGACCTAATCGAGTCTGGCTGTGGCAAACAAGGCATACTGAAGAGATCACTGCAGTTCATGGAATGTAAAATAAACAAACACTGACTGGGCGCTGCAGTCAACTTTTCCAGCAAGTTTAAGGTAAAGCCAAAGCGATCACTACCGGAACTACTAATCCTGACCTTGTGTGGAACGCTTTGGTCGCCGTGTTGCGCGATTTTGGACAATGCGCTTCGAGGTGAAAACAAAAGTCTCTTCTAAAAAAGCGCTCCAAACTTTTCAAAAATGGTTGCAATGAACACTTGCTACATAAACACCGAAAGCAGTCAGCTTACACATCTTGGACTGCAGCACTTTTTTAAAACCATCGGTGGAAATGACAAGGGTTAACCCCCGATGTATGCTTGCCTCTTTCCCTTTGAATGTATTCAGAGAGTATTTGCTCGCGACATTGCAAAAAGGTAGAGTCTGATTCTGGAGGTGTCCATCTGTCAGCATAGATGGATTCCACCCCCATGTAACAATCCAGGCTATGATTCTCCTCTTTAGTTGGCTCATGCTCCGGTCTCTCTGAATTTGCCCAGATTGAAAAGATTGTTACAGCTAAACAGAAATCCTGTTCATCTGCCACAAAATGACCGCATGGTACTGTGAGCATTTGAGATCTTACCAACTTCACTCTCACTCTGGTGATATCCCCCCGCCACATATGTGGTCAAGATATTGGAGCTGAATGATGTCCTCAGACCGTTATCAGCATACAGGGTTCCTAGGAGAACTTATGGTAACACTGAAACGATATGTTATTTGCTAAATTATTGAGTATAATCCTTTCTCCCAGATGGCTATGCAAGAGAAATTCATCATGAGGGTTATTGTCCTCAGAGGGAGACAATCAGAAAGTCTACAATGACAACACGACCGGACACACTTGAAGAGTTGATTGGCTGGCTTAAAAGGCACTCTCCAAGCAAATTTACAACTTCGTCCTACAGTACCAAGACCCCGACTTTAACAATGAACTGTGTAACCTTGAAGATGTCTCAGACCTCCCAGATAAGCCAACCGATTAAAATAAATCCATCCCTATGGTTGAATTGGTACCAGTCACTGAACCAGTTGAACGACCACTTGAACAATCTTCATTGAGTAGTGACACAATCAGCTTGGCAGACACCGAGATCTTGTCCGTCTCCTCTCTGGATAGAAGTGGTGCCATGGCCAGAGGTGTTTGAAATTCCTAAATTTTCAGTTGATGTTGAGTATAGCCGACTCCGTCAAGGGTAACTTGTTATATCTCAGGGATGGAACCTATCTCAAAGTGACAAAAGAGCTAAAGCTGATATCCTTGAGAAATTGGCTGAGGTCATCTATGGCATTTGATGCATACCCAACAAAGGATGATTTAGCGGCTGTTTGCACAAGCTTTAGTAGAAACACACCCATGTCTTAAAGAAGCAGGGTCAACCTCTGGCTGTCTTGGATGGAAGAACAGTTTGAAGTTTCAAGGTTGGAAATTACAGAGAGCCAAAATGTGCAAGCTGGGCCGACTTGAACGTCACTGTCATTAGTGGTAAACGTGGAAGATACTCTACAAATGGCGACCCTCCAAACAAGGACATCAAAAAAGCCAAGGAAAGGAGAAATAATAAATTTCCTGCCTCAGTATCCAGAGGGGTTGGATGACCACAACCTGGAAGCAGCTCGCCAGGTTTCTAGTCAATGGAAATGATGAAAGCGAAGCCAAAATGGGTCCCTTATTCAGAAAGAAATGGATAGGACCTTTGCTCTTCGGAAGAAAAGAAGTTGTGAACAGACAAGCCATGCAATTACCCAGATTGTACAGCGATGGCCAGCACTTTTCTCTGAGAGCCAGGTTTGTATGCCTGTTTTGAGTATTTACAAAAAGTGGTTAACACTGTGACCTAAATTGTGTTGTGTTGAGGGTCCATAAATATCTTTCATTTGAACCGTTGGGCTATGTTTTATATTTTCAGGTGGTTGCACGAGTTTCACCCGTGTGGTGGGGAAAAATCTCAAAGAAAACTTCTTTGAGGCACTTGACCGTTTCACCGCCAAACTTGAATGGACCTCTTCAGGAAGAAGAGGGCCTCAGTGGACACGTCAGACAAAGGTAGGCTGACTTGTCTACCTAAGCTGACTGCCTATCTTGCCTCTCTATTCTTTCCTCTTTCTTCTCATCTCATTACTTTTCATTGCTCTCCCGTTTCCATTTCCTCCTCTTTTATCCTACTCTATATACTTTGCTCTTTTCTTGTTTTTATATCTACTCTTCTGTTCTTCTACCCACTCCTCTCTACTTTCTCTCCAGGAAGTTTGTAATGAATTAATTAAATTGTGGCGACTTTCTGGAATCTATTTAAGCATATACAGTATGAGTGTACTTAGTTATGTCCACTATCTTCCAGACCACTGAGCCAACAGACATCAGGTGCCTTTGTCTTCGGGGACTGCCAGTCGTCTTGGGGATGACCCCTCTGCGTTCTTCAAAAACCTGCTCGGTAAGTAACTGAATTTGTTTTGAATATCTGCATTATTGATTCACAACTTGACCATCTGATATGAATTTACTGTAAAAAATAAATTACTACTACTTACTCTAAATTACAAACAAATTAACATTGTACATAAATTTGAACTTTCACCTTTGTCTTTCTGTGAAATTGCCATCAGCTAGTGTGAGATGGGGCCACAGGGAGGGACCCCTCTGTTTATTTTGCTGAGGACTATAAAAAACCCTTACATAAATTCTTACTTTTTGAGATTAAAGGACAAAACTGGTCTTACATTTGTAACTGCAACAATGGGCTCTATCCATAGCTCCACTACTTCCTGAACTTAATGCTGCTCCTTTGTTTCCTGTCTTTACATTATTGGACAAACTGATAATAATCCAGGTGTGTCTGAGTAGTCACAATGGTCAGACACCTGGATTAATCAGTTTGTCCAATAATGTAAGACAGGAAACAAAGGAGCAGCATTAAGTTCAGGAAGTAGTGGATCTGTGCATAGAACCCATTGCATCTGTACTGGAAATTGTTTTTACACAACTTTTCAGCTTGACTGGGACTGACAAAGCTCTCCATCTCTGCTGAGCTACAAAACCATTTCAGCACACAGGTTTTCAAACGGCTCTTGTAATGCACAGTTCAAATTATGGCGATTTAAAATTGGTGTTGTCCTCTCTCAATTTTTGTGGTCAACACAGCATTATTGACATTACAATGTCGTCTCTTTGTCCGTTTCTTTTTCTGTTAGGATGCAACTGACAAGGACTTGTACAGTGAAACTTCAGTGGGAATCCTCTGCATTGACGAACATCCTCAACTCAACCCATCCAGAGTGAGCATCGTCTTGGAAGGGAGTGTGGTAATGGAGGAGCTGGCCAACCTGCCACAGGCTTTCTGTGTCCTTTTTGGACTAATTTATGCCTTGCACTTGGACTACCCCAAGTGCATGAAAAGCACCTTCCACTTTATTCAACAGGTCATGCTAAACCTGGGCAGAGTTGAGCTGAAACCCAAAATTCTATCTTTGAAGAATCAGCTATCTGTATAAAACAGGGTTCTGAATACGTATACCACTGCTCTGGATCTGAGTGCTTGGTTATTTGTAATGTTGCACTTTAAAAATACCATGTTTACTGTTGGCCCTGTTTGATATGCAAGTTTTTTATGCATTGCCACTGATTTTGCCATTTTCTTCAATGCTGATTGGTGTATAACTTGTGTTATTAGCGCTGATATAGTTTAATTCCTATTGCTACCTATGTTGTATAGCATTGACATTGATTTTGTAGTTTAATGCCATCCTGATTCATTCAAGAGTCCTATTTGATTTTGATTGCAAACCTATTTTGTTTGATAACATGATAAAGACAAGTTTAATAAAACATGTTGACAAGAATGTACTTTTGTGATTTTGCTTTTTATTTTCTTAATTAATTTAATCTGTATGGGTTTCTTTTATTAAACAGATTTTATTTTACTCTTCAGATAGTGAAGTAATTGGGCAAAGGAATTTTTAAGGTAAATCAACTTGGAGGTTAGTGTATTCAGCTTAAAGTTATAAGTGGAATAAATATGTAAAGCAATTGATATTAGTAATGTTTTTAAGTTTAATCATCTTGGAGGTTAGTGCACTTGACTTAAAGTTTTCAGTGGAATAAAGGGGCAAAGTAATTAATATTACTAATGGTGTTGAGTGTATTGAACTCAAAATAAAGATGCCATCCACTCATCTTTTTAAGTTAAATTCACTCAAGTTTTCATCAGACATTACTTAATTTTTTTAGGGCAACCAGTTTCCTAAAATTTTTTAAGTAAACTCAACTTATCCGGGTTTACAGTGTACATTTTGTATTAACTGTTTGGGTCTGAGCTTGTAAACATGTTTTTTCCCATTCCTCCAGTGAAATGTCCACATCCAGGTCTTTTTTCCAAGCAGACAAGTAGGAGAGCGAGTTATCTTTTGAGGCTGAAATAAGCATGTTGTAAAACGCTGATAGTTGACCCTTTCCCTTTAGATTAGAGATTGTGTATTTTTCTATTATTGTCATTTTGGGTTCTGCCAATTGATGGGTTTCTGAATGTATAAAATGTCTTAATTGTAGATATTTAAATAAGTGTTTTTTGGGGAGATTGAATTTGTTCACTAATTGATTAAAAGACATTAAGTTGTTTTCAAAGTATAAGTCTCCAATTTTTTGTACTCCAAGTGTCTCCCAGTGCTTAAATCCCAAGTCATTTGTGCCGGGTTTGAAGTTTTCATTCCCCCATATAGGTGAGAAATGATACAGTTTAATAGGATCATTAAGAACTGAGTGTACTGTACTAGCTTTTAGTTATTCAAGGCAGTCCAAATCCGGTATCACAAGTTGCGGTAATAGCAACTTGTGATACCGTCTGATTTAAATTCTTGATAAGTTTTGTAATGTGTAGGCAACTTGATGGTGTCAAAGCAAGTGAAGGCTCTGGGAAGTTTTCCGCTTGTGAATTTCACAATTAGTGCTGTTTCCAAACCCACCGAGGTATAGAGGAGGAGTTTTCGTTTCTCTGAAGAGGCTGTTGCACATAACGTTGTTAATTACTTTTCATAAAATATTCTCAAATCTTCAGCATACCTTCATTAATGTAAGCATTGAGATAGTCACATATGTGTGTGATCTCTTCAGCTGAGCTGGTGTCTTCATTATCGGAGTCAGAATCAACACTTGGACGTGGCCACAGAATCCGAAGTATAACCTAAAAGATAAGGATAATAGTCTGACATGCTAGAAAATCTGCCGATAGATGTGTGAAATTTACAATAAATGCTTTATATTTAAATGCTCTGTTTTTACACAAATGTCTGAAGAAAAAAATATTTCATTAAACCACTAAGAAAAACTTGATTATCAAGTGTACAGTAATCCCTTTAAACCCTCAAAGCAGTTTGTTCATTTCCCCATGGCTCACCAGAAAGTTGTTTATCACCCTAGAAAGATTAATAACAATAATTTGATTGTTTAGGAATTAAGTAATTGTTTTTTTTATTATTTATTTTGTTTTGACTGAGCATGTTCACGAAACACACAGGTCTGAGGCTGTAAAGTGCCAAACTTCCGTTGTGTCCTTAGGCAAGACAAAAAGCGCTGTATAAAACCAATGCATTATTCTTATTCTTATTATAGAACCATGCAATGGGCAGAACAATAGGCAAGTAAAGGTATCTTTATTTCACATTCGTCAACCTCTGCTGTGATCTCTGCATCAGCTTCTGTTGGGAAAAGCCATCTTGCCACATCCTCTCTTTCAGAAAGTATAGTCCAGAATCCAGTTTCTTTTAGTCCCTTTCGGATCTGCTTTACAGTAACTGCTTGGAAGCCTAACCTAAAAACCTGCAAAAAAAAAGTGGAAAAATTGTTGAAGGCAAGTACAAGATTCATGTCATCTCAATATCAATGTAGAGGTAATGACACAACTCCGTATTCCTTATAAACTCATCCCATTGAAGGTAAATCAGTTAAAATCAGGACAATTTAATAAGCCAATTGAAACTTCAATTTGATTCAGTAAAATTATTCGAGACTTATGATGCCAAGATTTACGTAATTGTCTTTAAGAGTGCATTTCTAGCTATGATTTTATCCAAAACTTATATATTACACAAAAAAAGGTATAGATCATTTGACGTCAACATGCTCCTGCAGTCCCTCTAGTGCAAAACAGAGAATGAACAGTACCGTGCGGATAAGACGTTTCACATGTTTCGGCAGTGTACCATGAGTCGGACAGTTTGAAATGGTATTATCCTGAGTTGGACACGCGCACCTTTTTGTCATGTTTTTATTTTATCAGACGTTTGCAAAAACTACAACGGAAAAGTGGTGGGTAAGCATCCTCTACACATGTTAATGTTAATTTGTGCCAAAATGAGTTCATGAATGTAAATTAGCACATTCACATTGAGTAATCATGTTTTGCTTTTTACGGAAATGCGTGCATGGCTTTGGCGACGCTCTGACAGCATGAGAGCTCTCGTTTTCACCCTGTTTTATGAATTAACAGGCCAAATTTGTTTGTTTTTTAACGGTCATATTGCTAGATCAAGTGTTGTGAATGCACGTTATTAGTCTTATAAATACACAAGTGGAAAATCAGCTATATGATTAGTATTTAGTTTTAATCCTGCTGTCCAGTTGCTTGCTCTAAAAATGAAGTTTATGGGTGCCAGTAATTTCATACTAGTCAGTGGGAAAGTAGCCTCTGGCAGCACTTATTGCCGGGTTGCAACCACGTGACCAAAAGGGGGCGTGGCGCGAGGCCGTAGGACAGGAAGTGATTTTCTCCAATTAGTAAAACAGGGCGACAGAAGAAAACCGGCACATCGGAGCATTTTACGGGTATGTATGACTCTTATTTCTAGTGACAACTATTTTAAATATAGTGTACGCCTTGTATAGGTTGAATGAGATAAACATTTTCATCAATGAAGACGATTAAGCTGCTGTTGTAGTGGTGACAGTGGAGCTAACGCTAACTAGCTAACCGCCAGTCAAGTTCTGACCCATAATTGCATAAATAGGACATACATTATACTTTTAACAACATTTGTGTCAAATAAAAAAAAGCTCGGACCAAGCTCCAAGGGGGAGCTCCGCAGCCGTAAGTTCACAGCGGGGAGCTGCAACGGGGGATACTACTTTAGATATGACCCGGTCCTCAGTCACAGTCGTGTAAAAATAACTATGAAAATCTCACCATTAACATAATGACTAGATGCCATCCAGATTCAAGGTTAACTTCTGACTTATTTTACATAGCTGTTATTTGTAATTTGCCATAAAAAAAAAATACTATTTTCTTTTTGCTGTGTTTCAGACTGTCACATATCTTTTTTTCATTCTTGGATTTCAAAACACGCTGTTCATGGAGCAGAGAGATTACTGCAAAAGCCTGGCTGGCCTCTCTCAGACCCGTTTTCTGGAGCCTTTATAATTCCGTTATCCCCGTTACCCTCTCATTCACCGGGGAGAACTCCAACACGTGGCGGCTGAGATGGGGGGCAATGAGAATGGCCACCCCAGCTCGCCGCCTCTCCCCGCGAGAAACACCAGAAAAGTGGAGTCTGTGAATGAGTTGGGGGGCGGTGCTAACCATTCAAACCTTGCAGAAACGGGTATAGCGCCTTTTAAAGAGCGACTAAACACCTGTGACCAGCCTTACTCTGCCCACATGCACATTTGAAAATTCTCCCTTAAAAGGGCATTGTCTAGTAGCCTGGCTCTGCCAGACCCTTGTAGTTCCGCCATGCTCCACCAGAGGCGTTTGGCTGAACCACATGGGTCTGGTATCGACGCCATGGCGAACGCCTTCCCCAGATTATTTTTTAATCGACCAATCAGGATCGCCGGTGTTTCGTGGGGTTTGCTCTGCCTTCTCAAGCTTCTCTCATGCAGAAGCGAGAGGAATCCAAGATGGCGGACGTAAAGTCCGCAAATCTTTTTAAAAGAGTAAATACGATCGAATTAAGACACGGATGTCACTTTTAATGCAATTTGAGGCGAGATGTAGATGGTTCTATGTTGATAAATATGTGTTTTAAGAGTCAAATGTTCCTGTAAAGTTTGGTTGAAGCTCTGGTTCAGTGTTCCTGTTTACACACTATACAGCAGGGTTGCCAGGTTTGGTGGTTCCCGCATATGTTCTTCCAGGAGACTTGTAGGTATTAAATAAACAGAAAGACAATAAACACAATCATGATAGCCCAAGTTGATTATATTACGTTTATATGGCAAGTTGATTATATTACGTTTATAGCCAAAAAATCATTCTGAGTGTTTTTTTTGTGTGTGTATTCTCGCAGATTTTGGGTTGGAAAATCTTGCTGGGATTTGGCAACCTATGGGAGCCGTGTGCTTGGATGTGAGTGGTTGAAAGCAGACTTCATTCAAGATAACGGACAAGTGGTCTATCCAATCACATACAAAGATTTGTTTTACAAGGCCCCTCCTTCTGAAATCCAACCACTATGGCTGTGTCCAAAACGCTAGGCATCTGGCCGCGTAGGGTGGATATGTAGGCTTGTGACGTCACTTCCTCATGCGACGGCTATTGCAGGGGTGTCCAAAACCCCTGCAATAGCCCCTGCAATAGCATCGTGACTTTGTCTCTATGGAAACGGCCACTTTTGAGCAGATATGAAGGATGCATCTGATGTATGCTTCACTGCCTTCCCGAGTTCGCAGGGTTCAATTTTCAGTATTGAGGCACCAGCAGCAGCTTCCCCTGTCCCCACTTTAGTGTTTAAATGCAAGTATATTTCATATTATAGTATTCTTACATGACTAATAACACTTATAAAGAAATATTATTTGAATTTTAAGCGACGAATTGCGCTATTTCATTTGTGTTTTCTTCTGTGGCATATGATAGCTTATGTTGTAACTGTAAATTAGCATTGTCACAGTTAGTTATATTTTATTCCTTTATGTAGTTTTAACGTTTTATTTTGTTCATAGGGACGAAGGAGATGACGGAGATGTTCATAAGAGTGCGGGCGGAGAACGACGTCCTCTTTACTGGGGCGAAGTTCTCCGCCAGCACGGCCTGTAGGTAAGAGCTGTTTGAGAAATGTCACTGTTTAGCTTATGATTAATTTAAGTTATCTGGAATTGACTTTAGGACTGCATATTTTGTTCTTAATGTGAGTTTAATACTTAATATATACATAAAAAGGTTTAGACAAGCTGGTGCTATTCTCAAATACAACAGTCATCATTATTAAAAAGTATATCAATCATAACAAAAGAACAAAAAATGAGAAACATAACTATTGTTTTCTGCATTAACATTATCAATAATTTCAGGAATTCTCTAACACATAAAGTAAGTTATTAGTAAGTAAGTAAGTTTTTATTTATATACCGCCTTTTCACTGCAGATCTGAGTCTCAAAGCGGTTTTACAATTGTTAATGTTGGGCATTTGTCTCTCACTCCACACAAAGATGGGAGCGGGGTCGCCAGTACAGGAGGCACATGCCAGAACTATTGGACATATTTTTAGTGGTAGGGGAAACCGGAGTACCCGGAGGAAACCTACGCAGACACGGGGAGAACATGCAAACTCCACTCAGAAAGGCCCTGGTCCGGCCGGGATTCGAACCCAGGACCTTCTTGCTGAGAGGCGAGAGTGCTATCCACTCAGCCACCGTGCCGCCCAGACCCTTGTATTCTGTTTCTTTATTTTAATGTTTCTGTCTTTTCTATAGGACTATCCTGGAAAAGCTAGACCTGCAGGAGGTGGTCACGCCCCTGCAGGCCTGTAAGAAGTGGAACAACTTGAAAAAAAAGTATAAAGTATGAAAATCAATCTTGTTTTTGTGAGTTTGTCAGCGTGTGCGTGTCTGCATGTGTGTGAGTGTGTCTGCATGTGTGTGAGTGTGTCTGCGTGTGTGTGAGTTTGTCTGCTTGTGTGTGAGTGTCAGCGCGTGCGAGTGTGTCTGCGTGTGTGTGCGTGTGTCTGCGTGTGTGTGAGTTTGTCAGTGTCTGCGTGTGTGTGAGTTTGTCTGCCTTTGCCGACATGAGCGCATCATGACTCCACATATATTTCTTGTGTTAAAGGACTGTAAATGCCCTGGAACAGGCCAGGGCGTGGAGGGGAACCCCACTGCTGGGACTTGGCCCTGGTTTGGCCTCATGGATGAGGTGTTGGGGCAGAAGCCGTCCATCAACCCTCCTGTCCTAATCGCCTCCATCCCTGATGCCAGACCAGGGCCAAGCCAGGCCAGAGAGCAGGAGCCGGAGCAGGAGGAGGAGGAGCCAGAGGCGGAGCAGCAGAGAGGAACGAGAAGGAAGAGGAGAGCGAGCTGGTGGAGCTGTACAGGGAGGATCTGAGGATGCAGAGGGAGGAGGATGAGCGGCGGGCACAGGAGAGGAGTGCCAATTTTGACAGGCTGTTTGGCCTCCTCGAAAAGTTAATTACAAATAAAAACAAATTAAAATCAACTATTTTTGTTTGATTTACATTTTGAAAAAGCCCATAAAAGTACAACATACATTTGAAATGATATAGATCAAGGTCTCAAGGTCTTCACATTAATAAATTAAGCCGTAAGTAAGTTAAATAAATTAATATCTATTTACTTTGGAACTTTCTCAGAGTGAATTTGGTGGGGCCATATCTAAGGCTTCCAACCTGAGAACATTTGGCAAACCACAGCTCTGATGTGTTGTGGATTTTAAAAACAAATGTGTTTGTCTACCCAACAGTGGCTTCACATTTCCCCTTGACGGTGTGTATGATTGGTTAATTTCTTTATGTAATTTCTATATTTTGTATATACACAGATTTTATACACTTGTTTGATGGGACAAAAACCCCCTGGTAAATGTGTGAAGCAGTTCGAGAGCTCAAGTATTATTTTGTGGAATCAAAAATATAGCACAAGAAAATCAATGTAACCATTTATTCAACAAACAATAAAATAAAACTATTAACAAGCCATACAGGATAAACCTGAGAGTGCCAGTGCTGTGTGGCTAAGCAGGGACTCGTTTGGAGTGTTGTTGAATCCCATTCTCCAGGACCAGCACCATGGATGTGTGCAGAGATCAGGGTCCTGGTCTTCCTCTTCTGGCGAGTGAGACATCATACCGGGGGTGTGTCCACTTCATCGTCCATTTGTTGGGTTTGCACGGCTGGCTGGGTCAATAGACGGCTGCCATGTCCTATGAAAAGATGGTATAAAAAGATTCACATTTGTTTAAAAAATTTTTTTTTTATACACACAAGTGAATGGATGTGTGACAAAGACACTTGTCTGTGGATTTGTTTGGGCAACTTCACATATTTACATAAGTAATTAAGTGTTTAAATACCTAAAGGTACTCATGGTCCATTTGCACCTCCACCAGGGCAGACATCTCAGCAGACAGACGGTCTCTCCACTATGCTGCTGAGACGGTGTCCTCATCCTCCTCTGTGTTGTCCTCTGGGGCCACAACATCTCCAACCCCAAGGCAGATGTTGTGGAGGACAGCACAAGCGGCAATGACCTGAAAAAGCTGCAGTATTAATTACATGGATAAAGACATATGATAAATCCCGTATTTTGAAGTGAATTACAGGAAGTTGAAAATGTTTGAAAGTTTGCAAACATGGTTATCACTTACATTTGGTGCGAAGGTGTGGTGCACCTCCAGGGTGTGAAAGAAGATGGCCCGGAACCTCGTCTTCATCATCCAAAGGCACGCTCAATAATGGAGCATGCCCTGGAATGATGAGCGTTGAAGCGCCGGGCCGCCACACCCTGCACCGGCCGCTTGTAGGGAGTGATGAGGGGGAGAGGACGCTGGAGGCAGGGATACCCTCCATGCGCCAAGAGGAAGTGCCCTGGAGGAGGATATAGCCCTCTGAGGTACAGAGGGCTGTAGCGGAGGACCCTGAAGTCGTGGGCTGACCCAGGCCAGCCCACGTAGATGTCCATGAAGCGGCCCTGATGGTCACACAGCGCTTGAAGAATTATGCTTGGGAAAAGTTTCCTATTCTGGAAGAATTCACCATCAGGGCCACCTGGAGGCTTGATCGCGACGTGACAGCCATCTATTGCCCCAGCAGCTCTTGTGAAGACCTCGCTCCTCGCCAGCCGTGCAAACCCCCGGGTCACTGTCTGCAGGTCTTCAGGGGTGTTTGGGAGGTGGATGACTTGGTGGCGTAGTGCCACCACCTCCCCAGTGACCCGGTGGACAATGAAGTGGACGGTGAAACTGTATGTTATTGCTCTCTGCTGTTTATTCTACTGTTTGTCGCATGGCGCCGTAAAGATGGCGCCGTTGCAAGAGCTCTGGTGTGTGTCGCCTGGTGCACACTGGGGTAGTCTTGCACAGTTTTTCCTATGTGGTTTTACTGCAAATGGCAAATAAATGAATCTGAATCAGATCTGGGCATCCCAAAGACCCGGGACACCACCCGGTATGATGCCCCACTAGCCAGCCAGAAGAGGAAGACCAGGACCTCAATCTCTGCACCCCATCCATGGTGCCGGTCCTGGTGCAGGAGGATCACCAACACACCAAACGAGTCCCTGCTCAGCCGAAAATCTGGACGCAAATCTCCATCATTAAAAAAACTGTCCAGCACTGGCACCCTCAGGTTTACCCTGCAGTAAGGACTCCTATCCTGTTGGAAAAACGAATAAAAAAAGTGAATTTGTCATTCCAGATTTTTTAACTACTCTTTATAAATAATGTATGTACATAATGTATGTATAATATAATCATTTTGATATGCAATAGGTTAGGATCATTAGTTAAAACGTGGGCAGTAGTGACCTCTATTGGTAATGAGTATTGTTGCAATGTTTTTGATGACTATTCATTGAATTATGTGTAATGCTAGCTCTATTAAAACAAAGGAAAACGTTTTAACTTTAGCACCAGTGGTCTTTGTTATGTTTAGTACATCTGTAACAATTTCATGCTAACCCTATTTGACTGTCAAAACAGTATAATCTCGTATAAAAAAAACGTAACTTACATTGTTGGTGCGCAGAAGGACCACTCGTCGCCTGTGTGCGTGCCTGTCTCTCTCAAGCTTATTGAATAAGTTTAAAATAATGAAAAACAAAATTGCTAACTCAGGATCCATCTTTACAACAACAATAACTGAATTTGCACACAGCGGAATGCACGCGAGTAGCAGGAAATGTGTGGCGGGAGTCATATTTTATTATGTATTTTTTGTATAATTTCTTGAAAACTCGATTCACATCTATTATAACCTTAACTATCTAATCATGAACGTAATATTAAATACAACAGTAGCCAGATAGTGAGATGATATTTTGTAAGATCCATCCACTAACTTTGAATACACACATAGGACCAACGTCTTTATTTTTATCAATCTTGATCATTGAATAGTTTTCAAAGCCATGTTAAAGAGTACAGTACTCAAATGTAATCCGTAGTTAATCATTATTTTCAAAGAGAATAATTAAAACAATAATGCAGTCAATACAAAAAGCATTTCATATGGGACAATAAGAGATCCCCATGGCATGTGACTACAAGATAATGAAACATAAAATAAATCTTTCATTGAAGAAAAACAATGTCATCAAATGTCTTAACATTAGAGAGCCATTAACTCAATTCAATTTCAATTATTACTGTACAGTTTTGCACATATTTATAATGTGATAGACCCATGCACAGGGTCAGCAAGCATTACTCTTTTGTACAGTCTGATTGCATGAAGGAGGAACTCAAGGGTATACATAGTTCCCACAGACCAATGAATGTCACATGACCTCCTCGGAGACGCCATCTTTGATGGCACGCTGCTGTGTTTGTGCATTCCATTAAACAGAAGAATGAGAATAAATGTAGATATTCAAACGCAAATTGGAAAAAAAGGGCAACTTTTGAGCAAATAATTGTATATTAATACAATGGCACCACAGTTTAACGTGCTACGGACATGTTTTACATATTTGATCAAATTATGCAGCAAAAATTAACAAGCAATGCAAACATTTCTCAAAAACTTTAGATTTAATACCAGTTGGAGCTCCATTTAATTATTTTAATTATATTAACAATTAATTTAATTAATGCTAATGCCACACGGACCACTCTGGATTGCTGTTATTGTTTATTTCCGCGTTTTTGACCGTATGTTTTGGTGAATGGTGGGCAACTGATTTTTCCAGGCGTAAAGAGCAGTTTATTTTATGACACAGATCTTTTTACAGAAGCAATGCTGTTTGTGAACATTGTTTTAGCCCACCATAGAACTATTATTATCTATTTAATACATTTACGTTGCCCTCGAGAGCCTCGGACGCGACACCGATCCTCCTCATAATAAAGTAATCTAAATAATGAAACTCTCAAGTTACCAGATATCAGCATACACAAGTTAGTACTGAGTAAATTACGTCTGTCAACACATTATGAGATACGATACGCACCTGACACAAAGTGCTCCGAGCATATTCTTGCGTGTTTTGAGGGAGTTTCTTGCCTGTTTATCTTCGCAAGCCATAAACTCCGTGGTTGTTCTGACAAAAGCTTAGTCTTCTCACATTCATGAAGTCTAATGATGGGTATACTGTAAAATCCAAGTTTAACGGAACCTCCGGCACGATTTGAACATCCATTGACCCAGCAGGAGATGACCATTTTCAACTTTATCACGACATTAACACGTTTCAGCTTCTTTTTCTATTGTTTTGCCCACAGCATGCCAACACAAATGGCGCCGGGTCGGCAAATCCCCGTATGTAGTGACGTCATGTGGGAACTATGTATAGTGAGTCTCCAATGAGAAGTTCTTTATTAAATCATGAGCAGATGGAATCAATCCTGGCAACAATCAGACTCTTCATTCTGTAATTACATTAAAAAAAGAGTAGAAACAAATTAATGACAACAAATACAATATTTTGTCTTATACTCCTGCAGTAGTTTTGGTTGTTAACTGCTATACTAATTAGACATCAGGGCAGAATGTGTATGTAATTTTTGTTTACAAAGTACACTTATCAGCAGTCCTTATACTAACAATAAGTTAGCTTTTGACTTCAGACAATTGTAATATACAAATCCAAGTTATTAATCTGTTTTCAAAAAACATGTTTCAACAAATATAATGCAACTTACTTATATACACAAAACAGATGAGCAAACAAGGGCCATACAAATATCATGATTACATTAAAAAAGGGCAAAATCTACATCATGCATATATATAATGGAACTAGTAATTATACCATTTATTATAACAAAGAAAATACCTCCTTGCCTTCACTTAAGCCTAGCGTACATCGGACTGGCAACTGATTATATCCGTCGCATGAGTTGCTGCCCCGCACACATCGACAATCTGACGAAAACGGGCAACTCCCAGTAGCAGACCAGTCTGGGGAATAACAGCGCGTACATCGACAGCAACTGGCCTCAACTACAGTGTGTTTTCTGACATAAACTGTTGCGGGCTTGCAATACACACATGTTGTCGGAGCGGCGCATGGAGCGCGCACATCGGGTTATATCTCCGAAACTGAGGACAACTAGTTGCCGAAAAGTAGAACACGGGCAACTGACTGAAACTGGAGACCAACTGTTTATCTCCAGTTGTAAGAGCGCGCACATCGACCGATTTCGGCAACTGATCATCTCCCACCATCTCCTCTCAGTTGCCAAAAGCCGCCTTGCAACTAGTTGTCTCCAGTTTCTCTCTCGATGTACGCTAGGCTTTAGGGTTGTCTTGTTTTCATATTTGACTACTAGCATCAGGGGAGCTTGTCAAAATGAGTCCACGCATTTAGGCGTCTTGTCTGGGCATGGGCGCCGCTCACCCCCGCTGTCAGCTAGTGGATAAGTCCGAAAAAAAAAATATATTTTGTCACCAAACAGACCTGTGATATGACAATAGAGGGGGGTATTTCTCGCCTCAAATGTTATTACAATTAACTATTATACCCTAATCAAAGCGTATTTCAAACTTTTCACCTTCCATCATGGCGGCGCTGTCCTTTCTCTCCGCTCCGCTCTGAGGCTTGGGTTGCCTGGCACGAAGGCAGCTGCTGTCCAAATCCACCTCAGGTCTCGCCACCTAACTCGCCTGTGGCTTCGCGGCCTTCCCTCGATGCCTACGCAACCACCCTACGCGGCCCGATGCCTAGCGTTTTGGAAACAGCCTATGGCTCAGTACCAGACTCATGTGTGAAGTCCAGCGAACTACATGGGTCTGGCGAGAGTCAGGCTAGTTGTCTAGAGCAGGGGTTCCCAACGTTCCCCCCCCCTTTCGTCACATGAAATGAGCATGTATTTCCTTGATGAACGCTTTCTAGAGACTCACGCCACTACCGAGCTGCACTGTCCAGCCCAAAAAAGGAGACTTGCATATTTTTACTCATGTAGTGACACTTGGCTTGGTGGGCTCCCTCCTCAGCAGAAGTGGAGCGCATTTCTTGCGGCTCGCCCTCACTGTTCTCCTACCGCGGTAAAGTGGGCCGGCTTTCCCGAGTCAGCGGTAAAGAGGTCCGCACATTAAGAGCGGGCGGCCGCTTTCTGCTGTTACTTTATGCGCTTCATCCCCGGCTTCTCTTTCCAAAGTTACTGTCAGTAAAGGCATAAACTGGCCACCCGCTTTTAATGTGCGGACCTCTTTACCTTTGACTCCGAAAAGCCGGGCCTCTTTAACGCGCTGTTCTACCGCTGTCCTCCCTCCCTCCGCTGCCCTCTCTCCCTCCTTTGCCCTCTCTCCCTCTCTTCGCACCATCAGCCTGACCCCTGATACAAGTGACTTTTCTCCCCCTCCGGGTTTTTCTGTTGTGGATATTAAAGGCACCATACCCGTTTCTGCAATGTTTGAATGTTTAGCACCGCCCCCCAACTCGCTCAATGGCTTCTCATTTACCCTAAGCTCTCATAACACAGAGCCACCTAGTTTTATTTGCGATCTGATACATATGCTAACATTAGCATTTAGCGCAACGTCTTGTAAGCTGTGCAACAATCACTGATGAAATGGCACTAAAGTAACGCACTGCTAACACAATATATAAGTAAAAGAATACCGCTAGTTTCGCGTCTGAATATATTAATTTAAAACCTTAGAATATATTCTAATATTTAATTATAAATTTGTTATAGAGCTCCTCAAAGCAGCAGCAGCAATTCTTCCGATAATTTTTTCTTGATAACAGAA